ATAAGACACAAGTTGTCAATTAGAGGTTAAGTTGATTTCTAGTTCTTTAAAGTAGGAATAGAGTTAGAGATCAAACTCTTCTCCTACTTCATAGGAGAATTTCGGCCCCCTCTACTATAAATAGGGGTGTTTGGCCAGCATTTCATTTGTACCTTTGATGAATTTGATATTTCAATATGAGACGAGAGGAAACTCTTTGTTCTTTTTCTACTCTTTTCGAAGATTAGTGCATTGCACACAAGCTTGTGCTTTGTTGATGCATGCGAGTAGAATAGGTGTTTTTCTACTTGTGGAGCTTTGTTAGTTGTTCATTGGAGCCTTTTCGCTAGCCGTTCTATCCATAAATCGAAGGGATAGGGTTGTTAGAGAGGTGACCGATTGGGTTGCTAACCTTAAACACTTTCTATATCTTCTAAACTTTTCCATCCCTTTTTGGTGCAATTTTTTGTGGTTTGCATCTCTTCTTTTCTTTTAATTTTCGTGAGTTGTGGAGTCCATAATATTGGATTTGCAAGTTTTCAAGTTGTGGGAAATTCATAGCTTCCGCGTCGAGGTAAATCTGCCACCTTTGCCTCAAGATTCATATAAAAAATGCTTCTCAATTTGCACAAATGTGCTGAGTACCCTAGAGTCTACAACCCACTATTTGACATTGGCAGCGATGTTCACTTGAGAAATAACGGCAGTAATTATTTCATCTCCTTCGACTATATTAGCCTTAGGAGGATTCACTTCGGCATCGTTATTCCTCTTTCTCTGCCTACACTCAGAAGCATGATGATTTGGCTTTCCACAAACAAAACAATTGCCTTTCTTCTTAAAAGTGGGATTATTAGGCTTGTAATTTTTGGACTTGTTATCGTACCTCTTGTTGTTGCTTTGCACCAAGTTTGCTTTGAGCGCAATCTCTTTGGCTTTGGCAGTCTTTGACTCCTTCCTGTTAGTATCTTCGATCAGGATGTGCGTCACCAACTCCTCGACTGTGAAGATCTTCTGCTTGTGCTTCAGGTTGTTCTTGTACTCACTCCACGAATCTGGAAGTTTTTCGATCAGCACTCCTGCAGCAAACTTCTTAGGTAGTACAATGTCTTCAGCCTTCAAATCCTTGAGCAGCTTCTGATATTCGTTGACTTGAGCCTTCATCTCTTTCTCTTCAACCATCTGCCATTGGTAAAATTTTCCAACGACAAACTTTTGCTTCGTGGCATCTTCAGCGGTGAACTTTTTGATTAATGCGTCCCAGATGGATTTGGCTACTTTGTAGCTACAGTACACATCAAATAACTCATTAGAAAGAGTTTGCAAAATGGTGTGACGACATACCTTATTGGCATGTTGCCACGATTCTTGAATCTTGCTATCAGCAGCTGAGTCGGGCTGGGCATCAGTCAAAGCATAAGCAACTCCATGGATGTCGAGCAAGGAAAAGACATGTTCTTGCCAATGTTTGAAATTTTCATTGGCAAAAACTTCAATCTTCGAAACATCGGGAAAAGGTTTGGCGTATGTTAAGCCGACAGGGACCGAGGGTGTAGCTGGTACAATAACTGTGGATTGCGTAGCATCAACATTGATAATTCCATCAGCATTGGTAGCATTAGCATGGTCGGAATTCATAGTTTCTTAAGATTGTAGGAAAAATGTAGGCCAATGCTAAAAATTACAAAATAAATAAAATAAAATAATACTTGAGTCGTGCTAAAGAGCACCGTCCTTAAGAAACTATTCCAATGATATTGAAATGTTTCCCCAGGATTAAACAAGTCTTCCTCCAAATTATAGAGGGAACAGAAACAGCTAAAATAATATTTATCCAGCAAAAGGAATAAAACTTTTGATTTGAAGACGATCGAAAATAGTGATAAAATAACTAGAATTTATTTCCTAGTTTGCCAAAACCAGAAAACGAAGAAAGCAAAATGCTTTGTAGTCGTGAATGAAGAAAATGGCTTTAAAGCCTTGAACTGCCGAAAGAAACAAATAAAGGAAGAATGGGATTAAAGATAAGAGAAAATGTTTTTGGTGGTGTATCTTTCTACTCACATTTGGTCATCTATTTATAGTGCTGAAATTTGCAAGTTTCTGCCCCTAAAAATCAGAAAGTAAATCTCCCACTTGATTAGATTAAATCTTCCGTTAGTGTCCAAATTTAAGGATTTCAAGTATTGGACTCTTTCTTCTCTTGACTTGGTATTAATCTTTATCCTAACTATGAGTAAAACACAACCAAGTCAAAATTTAACTTTTACTTATAAACTTAGTAAAATTTAATTATATAGTAAAATCTTTTTGAAATATATTTGTTTTGTTCAACAGAACCATCTTTCTACTCCTTGGGGAGTTTGATCAGGGATTCCATGTCCCAAAGGAGCCATGGACACAAACAGCAATACTGCGAACAACATGGTTACTTTCATCATCTTGATTACTGATGATGTTTTCCTCTCCTTTTCTTTTTCTGGTTGTTAAAAATGTAAAGTGGTATTAGTTTCAGAACAAAAGAGTTTATGATGGATATGTGAAATGATGAGAAGTTGGAGAGAGTATTTATAGAGGTCTACAAACGAGATTCATGAAATGGTACAAGAAAGGTGTTGTTTTTATGTCCCTATACAAAAGACGTTGATGGATGGAGTTTCATCATTGATAATAGTATTTCCTTTGTCCCAAACTGATTATTCAGTTCAAGTTATCAGTTTTAGTATAATTTGAACTAAATAAAAATTTAAATTAAATAATTATTTTGAAATGAAAAACATATCAGTCGCATATAATTATAATTATGTAATCAATATAATGAAGTTGGTGGGACGTCGATTATCAAGATAAAAATTTAACGGCCTAAAGCTGACCAAGCACATTAGCTAACTAATCAATGTCTGTTTCTTATCTAATAGAGGGATTAATTAATTGTTTAGTTTTAATTTAGAGCAGTACTTTCAATGACATCTTTCCAATTGCCAACCGAATATTCGTTTGCAAGTTGAACCAAGCACGCTTGTGTACTTGTGCAATAATATGACACATAATTAAGCTCATTATGTGACTTCTTTTTGTGAAAACTTTTGTTATAGACTTAGGTTTATCATAATCACCCCAACCTTGAAAATTAGTCTGTGTTACAATTCATGAATGGAATAGTTTTCTGTACAACTGATCAGAAATTACCACTTCACCACATATTAGAACTAATTTTACCGTCGTAGTTTCATTTCTAAACATTCTTATTTCTCTTGGCTTTTAGTGATGTTTATTTCAAAAAGATAACATCATTTTTCTTTAAGAGTAATGATAGGGAGCTCACCTAAATAACATATTTTCCATCGCATCTTATGTGGCTTGCCTACATGGATTTACATGTCATTATTTTATTAGGAGGAGAGTAAAAAATAAAATAAAATTCTACCTACGATAAATCATAATTACTTTGCCCTTCCTATTCTATTGTCGTCGTTCTTCCCCATTCCCCTTGAGAGTTGAGAACTCATCTGTCATCGGAATCCTCCCCGTCTAAAACTTCATAATTAGTTAAGTTGTGATATTTCGGATTCGGATAAGTAAGATTGTGTACAAATTTTTGCATACTTTGTTGGTGTTCTTCTTTATCGCCAATATTTTCCACTCCTGGTTGTAGATTTGGATTGTGTTTGCTTTATAAAATTCAGAATTGTCATTTGATTGGTTTTCTCCACTTTACACACACTGAAACTAGACTCAGGTCTCAATCAATTGCAAAACCAAAACCCATGCGTCCCTTTACTTATCTCATTGCCGAGGCAAAAGCTAAAATTAGACCAATTGATTCGTTTCTGGAACATGACCCGGAAAATCCGATTTTCTCTTTAGGTTTCCATTAGCATATATTACTGCAGAACCGCAAGCTTTCGATCCATTTCTCTGATTTCTTTCTCAATATTCATAAAAATAAAGGTGACATGGGATGAGTTTTCATAGAGAAATGAGGCTGAAATTTGGAGGTTCTTCCACGTTTTGATATGGATTGTACATGCGAGTCGCTGTGGTGTTGGTTTTGTCATCTTGGATGTGGTTCTTCTTTGATCTCAAAAAGAATTTCGACAAGATTATTAAGCTTTAGACGTGGAGAATTCCGACGACAGATGAGTTCTCAAGGGGAATGGGGAAGAACGGTGACAATAGAATAGGAGGGCAAAGTCAATTTTGATTTACCGTAAGTAGAAATTTTTTTAAAATCTCCTCCAATAATAAAAATTATGACATGTAAATCTATGTAGGCAAGTGTTAGACCCCAAAGTTTTTCCTAAGAATTTAGAGATCTAATGGCGTGAGCTCTTTTAACAAAATCTCACTAGCCCCTAATAAATATCGGTCAAGGCAAAAAAAATAAAAAACACGATACTTAGCCAAAATGTATGCTTAGAAATTGATAACAACAAAATCTAAAACACACAAGAACTTAATGGACCAAAGTCCCAAATCCCTCACAAACGTTTATTCAACTCAACAAAACGTTTACAAGAGATTTCCCACTCAAACTTAGGCCAATTCCCTACACTTCGGCAATTTTCAGCAACTATGCTCTCTCAAACTCAAGGCTTTTTAAACTCTAGCCTTCCTCTCTTCTCCTTATAAATATAAGTCTACAAGTATTTATAAACATATGATTGACAACCGCAACCGTCTAGGCCATTATTACAAGTCAATTAGTTACACTTTCAAATTACTAAAATAACTACCCACCCTCCAAATAAAACTACTTTAGTAACTGATGACAAACTAACTCCTCACTTGAATCCAATCCCTTTGGCTCTATTTTCTTAGCCATCCCTAATTCATGGATTTAACCAATGAACCAAACAAATGCAGCAATGCACAAAAAACACTTAGGAAAGTCCTAAGATAACTTTATCCTTGTAACAAACCTCCCCACTTAAGAGTTTGATGTCCTCATCAAATAAATCTCGATAGTTCCTCCATGAACTCCAATTACGTTTGAAAAGTATCACCAACAATCACCATGTTCATCTCGTACTCAAGAAGACGAACCCCCCGGCTGCATCGATTCCCCTAAACGAAACAGCCCCCAAGTCTTCATGGACTTCATTCAACAACCCGCATAATGCCCCATCTTGAAATGATTGCTTCTTCATTTCTTCCACTTGGAGAGTATTTGCAGTAGCAGCCCCATTCTTCGCCCACAATGGACATTCTCCAATTCGACGATTTTCTTTGACACACTTGAAACAGCCCTTGCCTTTCCCCTTAGAGCCATTTCCATTGCCATCAACCTTCACTGGTTCAACAACTTTCTCTTTTGCCAAGAACTTTTCTTTCTTAGACTCTTTTTTAGCATCTCCACCAACTGGTGTTTGCATATCAACTAACCCATCAACAACTTGCAAGGCATGAGTTATATCTTTCTCATGATGCCGACACAATTCACTTTGCACCCAAGGTTTCAATCCAACCACTAAATCGAACACCTTGTCTTGCTCGGACATTCCATCTACATCCAACATAAGAGATAACAATTCGTTAACATAAGCATGAACAGAACCAACGAGTTTAAGCATTCTCAAAGCCTCTGTAGCCATCCAACTTGAATTGGTAGGAAGAAATTGTGCTTACAACTCCTTCTTCATCACGATCCATGAGTTCACTTCCGGCCTGCTTTGATCCTTCACCCATGTTCTCCACCACAACTTTGCATCACCATCAAGATGCATATTTGTGATCATAACACGTTCTTCCTCTGGCACATGAACAACCTTAAAATACTGCTCCATATCCCACACAAAGTTTTCAAATTCCTTAGCACTCCTTTCTCCACTGAATTTCTTAGGCTTAGGAACTTTGATCTTCTTCCCAACCAATGGTGCATTCACCCTTGCACACTTCAAGAGAGCAACATCAGTTATTAAACCACCAACCTTAGTAACTTTTTTTTAATTGAAAGGTTAGGACGACATTCAGGTTCCAACTAACACAAAAATACTCGAGGGGTATCCCAAGAGATAGATTTTGAGTCAGCCAGTACTAGATAGTACAATGCACCCAAGGGGTATACCTAAGAGATGAACATATATACCATCCAATTCCCTAGTTTCATCCCTCCCCGGTTTATTAATAATTATATAAAGGAGACTGGCAGTGTTTAAGACTTACCAGGATACAGAGACTGAGCTAATAATAATCAGCATTATTCTATTACAAATCATACGGGTACAATCACTATAAAACTCACAACAAATTGATGATCAAGCCCCGAATGAAATTGTTTCTTCCATCTTCTTGATAATTGTCACAAGACCCATCACAAGATACTTCAAATCCACCAGATCCGCCAGCACCACCACTTGATCTTGTGGAACCCCTTCCAACTTCTCAAGAATCTGCTGAATTGCACCTTCAATTTTCTCAACATGATTGGTAAGCGTCCCTGGCCCAGCCATTTCTTTGCCTCAACAAGCACCAGGCCCCAATCTAACCTGGCTCTGATACCAACTTTTTAGACCCTCCAAATTCTTCCTATGAATTTAAAGATCTAATGGCCTGAGATGTTCTAACAAACTTCCACCAGTCCTCACTAAATATTGCTCAAGGCAACAAAAAAAATAAACCCGATACTAGCCAAAATGTATGTCTAGAAATTGATAATAGCAAATCTAAAACACATAAGAACTTAATGGACCAAAGTCTCAAATGCCTCACAAGCTTTTATTCAACTCACAAAAACGTTTACAAAAGATTTCCTACTCAAACTTGGGTCAATTACCTACACTTAGGCAATTTTCAGCAAATATGCTCTCTCAAACTCAAGGTTTTTTAAACTCTAGCCTTCCTCTCTTCTCCTTATAAATACAAGTCTACAAGTATTTATAAGCATATGATTAACAACCCCAATTGTCTAGGCCATTAGGTTACAAGTCAATTAATTACATTTTCAAATTACTAAAATAACTACTCACCCTCCAAATAAAACTACTCTAGTAACTAATGACAAACTAACTCCTAACTTGAATCTAATCCCTTTGGCTCTATGTTCTTAGCTATACCTAACTCATGGCTTTAACCAATGAACGAAACAAATGCAGCCATGCACCAAAAACACTTAGGAAAATCCTAGGATAACTTTATCCTTGATCAGCAAGCCACATAAGGTAAGATGGGAAGGTGAGTTATTTAGATGAGCTCCCTATCATTACTCTTTCTTTAAATCTTTCATTAATAGTGATCAAGATGTTTCAAGTGAATTTAGGCATAGTAACCATCTTAATGCTTTTGCCTCTTTGCTATTAAACCTTATTAATTAATCACTTAAGGCTATCTTTATCAAAGCTTTATTAAACCTTAAATTGATGATGTTACACTCCCTGCGTGAACGTCCTCTGATTTCTTTTTTTAATATAAGTAGAAGGTAACCATTCGTAAAATCATCCGTAAGGAGTTAGTTTCTCTTCTTGTCTTCTCTTTGAGCTTTCAACCTTTCTAATTGGTGGTTCTATATATTTGTTGTTCCTGCTCCCTCTAATATAATTTGAAGCTTTGTTAGGATGGCAAAATGGTTTCTTTAGGATAATGCAGTTTTGCATAACTCAACTATTTCATTGATTAAGCATTTTTGGAGAATACCCCATCATTTTTTAATTATATTTTTTTAAGCATACAAAACAAAAGGTTCAAAATCCTAATAGTTTATGAAGAATGATCCATACTTGTAGCAAAGTAAAAGCTTTCAAGATCAAAACAACGTGTTGTGAGTGACTAAACCTAGTGACCAGTTATTTTGATGAATAAGGCTCTAATATTAAATTTACCGTAGGCTCTGGCATTATTCTTTGACTTTTTTGGGGTCAAACGTGTTATACGGGACAAGCCAATTGACTATGTATCTTTGTCCACACACACACACACACACACACATATATATATAAATTCTTACTATGCAGTATATATGTACAGCGAATGCTTTTACGCATTAATTGCATTGTAGGCTGAAGCAATTGATTGTCTCAGAGGCTTTCAAGAGGTGCACAGTCGGAAGCTAACATGTTGTCTTCTACAGACAGATTGCCCAACAAATATATTATCAAAGGTTGAAAGTTCCAGCTCATTTAGGTTACCTTTTCCAAGATATTAAAGATATAGCTTACGGGTTAGATTGTCTATAGTTAATTAAAGTAGGGATTTAGTTGAGGTAGTGAACAGGCTTGCTAAAGCCATTAGCTTTGTACAATGTTGTATGATTTCTATTAAGAGTACATTTCATGGAAAAAAAGAACACACATGCACATACATATTTTTTATTATAGCTATCATGGGCTTGTTGATAATACACCTGTGTATGCCAAAATAGAAAAGCCAGATATCGACGAAGTTATGAACTTTACCTATCCTTTATATGATTTCAAGAGAGGTGGATCTCAATGTTATACTAGTTCGCATAGTACTGAAAATCAAGTTACACTTGAACCTCCACTCGAACAACACAAGTAGAGAACCTCCACTCTAAATATTTTTTTTTGACAATAATGGATGACTTTTCTCGTTCAAGTTGGATTTATTTGCTTGAAGATAAGAAAAATGTTTCTAATTGTGTGATTTTCTTGCCATGGTGAATCGACAATTTGGTAAATTGGTGAAAGTTATACGTAGGGATAATAGTTCTGAATTTTTATTCTTGTGTGACTATATCGCCAACATGGAATTGTGCATGAAACCTCTTGTGTTGGCACTCTTCAGCAAAACAGGCATGTCAAATGCAAGCATCGCCTTATTCTCAATGTAGCACGAGCCTTACTTTTCAGGCAAATTTGTCGATTGAGTTTTGGGGCAATTGTGTTTCAATTGCTGTTACTTAATAAATCGGACTCCTTCTTCTGTTTTGTGAGGGAAAACTCCTTTTTAACTTGTGTATGGAAAAACCCCATCTTTGCAAAACTTGCGTGTTTTTGGCTGTATTTGTTATGTGCATAACCAAGCCAGGGAGTGATTAATTTGCCCCCCCTCCCCCCGGAGTTGTAAATGTGTTTTGTGGGTTACCCTACTGGCAAGAAAGGTTGGTTAGTGTATGATTTGAATTGAGACAATTTCTGGGTTCCCATGATTTGGTATTTAGTGAGAATGAATTTCCTTATGCTACCACTTGTTCTGTGCCTTTGGAGTCCTCTTCTAGGGTTGTTGAAATGAGTACCTCTATTTTCCTTGATGATGATGATGATGATGTGAGTGTGGTTAATGGTGATGTATTTGCTACTCCCATCCCTCTTTCTATGCCGGTTGATTCTCTTAATCCGTCTCTTTCTGACTCACCACCTACTACTGAGTTGTCTCCGGACTAGTTGAACCCCCGCCCCCCCTCCCCCCCCGAACTCTTGGGCCGCAGACATTGTACTAAGCTTCCCTCTACTCGTCTTCATGATTTTGCATGTCATAGTGTGTGCCCCTCACCCCCCACTATTGCTTCCCCTGCTCTGTATTCGTCCTTAGGTACTTCTTATCCTATAACACATTTTGTAAACTGTGAACTGTGATTCGTTTTCTCCACATCATCAGGCTTTCTTTGCAGCAGTTACTGCTGGTTTTGAACCTCATACTTTTCGCGAGGCTATGGAAAATTCAAAGTGGCGTTCTTCCGTGGATAATGAAATTTATGGATTTTCAAACATGGGACCTCGCATATATTTCCCCAGGGAACTCACATCTCTTTCCCCAGGGAAACACGCAATTGCTTTGAAGTGGATATTCAAAATCAAATATAATGCTGATGGATCGGCTGAGCATTATAAAGCCCATGTAGGTATTCTTGGCATTAATCAGATCAAAGGGGTTGACTATCAAGAAACATTTTCACTTGTTATCAAAATGATGAAGGTTCGTACATTTTTGGCTGTTCTTGCTGCTAAAAATTGGGAATTACACCTGATGGATGGGCATAATGCATTTCTTCATGGTGATTTACATGACGAGGTGTACATGAAGCTCCCTCCAGGATTTTGCTCTAGTGCTCCCGGTCAAGTCTGTCGCCTTCACTGGTCTCTGTATGGCATTAAACAATCACCTCGTTGCTGGTTTGCTATGTTGGCCCATGCATTACAACAATACGGCTTTGTCCAGTCTACTGCCGATTACTCTCTTTTTATCTTTCATGAAGGTACTATTTGTCTCAGTATTTTGGTATACATGGATGACTTTTTGATTGGTGGATTAGAGCAACCAAATCTCTTCCAAAAGGTAATTAGAGGGAAGGGGGGAAGTTGAGACGAGTATGGGTCTTCTCTCTTTTGCTTAACCCATCGGGTAAAGAGGAGACCAACATGGCTTAGCAAGATTACTTCCCCCTAACCTCTATATAAAGAAGCAACAGCAAAAGATG